TTTTTTTTTTTTTTTTTTTGGCTTTCAAAATCGTCTCTGGCCCTTGCTGCTTCCATCCATCGGAGCCAGGGGTGAGATCCGGGTTCGGTTTTCACTGACTCACTGCGTGCCTTTGTCCCATCACTTAATCTCTCCGTGCCTCAGTTTCCCAAACTCCGGCGTGGGAGCGCCGCTTCTGAGCGTGTAATTGGTGTTTGTAAAGCGCTTTGAGAGTGGCGGTGACTCAAGGAGAGGATGCTTTAGGCCTTTTCAGGTTTCTGAGCCAAGGAGAAGCTGCACTGGGGGGGGCAGTTTAGCAGCCCCGGAGCCGGGAAGGGATTAGGAGGATGGGGGATGCGGCAAGGCTCATCTTGGACACGAGGGATGACCCCGTTCTTGCTCGACTTGACTTCTCTTCCACCTTCCCCGCTGCTCTTAGGACCCTGAGTCATGGAAATGAAAGGCAGCGTGGCGCGCAGCCAGGGCTTGGGATGGAGGGTGTGGAAGAGTCTGACTGGATTGCCAGCGCCGGCGCTTGCGAGACCAGTGTGCTCTCCAGGAAGAACGGGAGCCTTGCTGGAAAGCGGAGGGTTTGCTATCTCCCGCGTTCGTCCTACATCAAAACAGCAAGCCCCCCGCCCCGTCCCCCCGCCACGGCCAGTTTACAACCCCAAACTAATCCGGTGTTTGTTTTCTTGTGTTTTACTCGTAGGTTTGAAAGAAACTTTTGGACTGTGAATTAAGGCACTGGGTATGTGAATTTAATTGCATGGCTTTCTAAATGGGTGAATGCAATGTTTCATTAGGCCCGCCCGGCATCTGTGTTCCCATGCGCGGCTGCACCTCCAACATAGCGTACGTTTATGTCCTACCGCCGGGTGCAGAGGGGGGTGTAGCTTGCTTTTCATTGAAAAATTTGGCATTTAAGATGCAGAATTTCAGGCCCAGGGGATGGATGGGGAATGCCTGGAAAAGAATGGACCAAAGGGAGCATGTTTGGAAGGTGTCAAACCAAAGCCTGGAGAGCGAAAAGGAGAATAACTGGTCCTTAGGACAGCCGGTGCCATCCTCCGCTAGAGGAGCTGGACTGCACGACTGGCTGGAGTGAAGTGCATTAGGCACGAGGGAACCAGGCGTCTGTCTGCATCCTGGCCCCAGTCCCCTGGGGAACGATGGACCAGTCTCCTTCCAAGTGGCACCCGAAAATCAGCAGCTCGGTTCAGTGCTCAGCCCAAGGCGCCAGCAGGGATGGTCAAGAAGAGCTTTTATTTTCCAGTTCGGGCTATGCAGTCTGCAGCGGGGATGTGCAGAGCGGTGCTTATGCTGTTTCGGCCGGGGCAGGAGTGGGTGGAGAGGTCACGGGGGCGGGGTGGGAAGATGGCGTTGCTGGCTACCTAAGGTCTCGTTGCATTCGCCCCCGAGCGAGGGGGAGAGATGGAGCAGAGCAAGCCAGTGAACGGGGTGGGCAGAAGCCAAAGGTCTGCTGCTGCCTGCATCAACTCCTGCTCTTCAGCAAGAGAGCAGCAGCTCTTAGCCCCGCTCGCAATGCCTTCCCCGAGGCCTCCCGGCTCCAACGTCTCCCCCTCTTGCCTCGCGCAGGCTCAGGATGGCCTCTCCGGCAGACAGCTGCATCCAGTTCACCCGCCACGCGAGCGACGTCCTCCTCAACCTCAACCGGCTTCGGAGCCGGGACATCCTGACCGATGTGGTCATCATCGTGAACCGGGAACAGTTTAGAGCCCACAAGACGGTCCTCATGGCCTGCAGGTGAGCCGGGCAGCGTTCCCACGTGCGTGTGCCGCTCCCCATCCGAAATCGCGGGGCTCAGAGCTGCGTGGCCACGTCCAGCCGCTCCGCAGGGACTGGAGCTGCGGTTGGGAGCCAGCGTGCTGCTGTCTGAGCAGGTCTGAGATGCTGCGTTGCCTGACATGGTTAAACAGATGGGACGGGCTTGTTCCTGGCTCCACGGGTGGTTGTCTGCCCCTGTCTCTAGCATCCCTCCGGCCTGATAGTATGTCCCCTGCAACCCAGCTGTACTTCCCAGTCAGTTTTAAACATGTGGTA